GGCCTGGCTCAGCACGGATCGGCCCGGCCGCTCTTATGAGATGCCCTCGTTTCTTCGTTACTGCGACACCAATGCTATCTTGGGTGTTGCTTGTCGACACTGCTTGGCACAATGAAACAGACTGAAAGGTTACAGGCTACAGTTCCGGAGGGCTAAAGACGAGCTCAGATCCTGCTCTGGAGACAGCGATTGGGGACAGATACGAGAAGGGGAGGGGGACTAGTGGCGCAAGAACTGGAGACAGCAGCAAAGAGGAGGAGTGCACTCTTTTCAACCGTAGGTTGAAAAACAATTAATCAGTGAAGTCCGGAATCAAGACGCACCAGAGCACTATGTCAAAAATAACAGTCTTATCCAGTGGGGAAGCGGGATAGATAGCGTCCCAAAAAAGCATTTCAAATTCCCACTTCTTATTTCGGTGATTTCTCAACTTTAAGATCCAATGGTAATCGGAGGAATGAAGTTTTAAAATTATAATGCTTTGAGTGTTAATTTTTGCTTTCAAGAAATCTGCATTTGTGGTAGAAATTTATGTGCTTATTTATTTATGAAAGGATTCATAGAAATTCTGCACTATTCATTTATGAAAAAAAAAAAAAAAAATTATGAAATTCGTCTCTTTTCTTAGAGCCACTTCCTCTGCTAGACTGCAAGGTGCGGAATAGGGGTACACGTTTTCTTCGCTCGCCTCCACCTCAAACTGGTGCAAAATTTCAGCGAAACAGCACTGTTCCGGGAATTCGAGAGCTCCACTGCGGAAAATAAGTGCATTTCGAAAAAAATCCATTGTCTGGAACTCTCGCTCTTACCGATCACCCCTTTCATCCACCCTATTTTAGCGACAATGGCTTTTCAAATCATCATTTACTTAATGTATCCGAACCACTTGAAACCACTGCGCATATATTTCGTTCAAAATTTTGCTCTGCCTTCCTCCTTCGCCAGGACTTACGGGTGTATGTAGCCTCAGAATGAAGTTATTCTTTATGCACTCAAATCAACGCACATTTGCCATCGTTAAATGACAATACGAACTTCAGATATTTTTACAATTTCGACAGCATTTATACACTTACACCGAAATACATGTGTGAACAGTACATCAGCTTTGCCGGTTTTTTCATGTGTATTAGTTTCACTAAGCTCTGGAAAGAGTGGGTGTATGAAATCATCTAACAAATTTCCACCCAAATCAAAATTAAAAAAAAAAATACCGATCCAACCCAAAGAAAATTGAAAAACCAAAAGTTGATCTCCGTCAAAGATATGCGCGCCCAGTGCAGTCAAAGGCACTAAATCACAATGAAACACATGTAATATGGTGAAATATGGCATCTGGGTACTGCATATATATATATATATATATATACGTACATATGTATATACATATATATACATGTATATATATATACCTATGTATACACATACATGTGTATATATATATATATATATATATATACACGTATGTACATATATGTATATGTGTATATCCACATATATATACAAACATATACGCATGCAAGAAAAAGATGAACAAATCATACAGCAAGATCCAAATTTTTCCCTCCGTTTTTTTCTTTTCTCACAGATGTCAACAGATCTGTCCAAAAAAAAGCTAATAACGCATCATAAGTCGATTAAACATTTCAAGAAATTGATGAAATATGACATGTCAGTTCAATAAATGGCACTTTCCAGAAAATGTTTGAGTTACTGCTTCCTGTGTTGTCTCGGAAACCGCTGCTTGATAATGCTTGCGTCAGAATCATCTGTTCTGTAAGCCATCGATGAATGCAACACATCGTTTTTAGCCAATGATTTCTCGATTTCCTGCAAAGAATACATATGCAAGAGACTGCCTACCCACGGCTTCAGAGGTGACGAAAATATTGCTAAAACGCATAATCTATCGATTCTAGCCCTGTTTCCTGCGGCAACACTGTGTGACAACCCAGGCCATAGCTTAAAGCCCTCAGCTGCGTTATTTACGATCAGTAACTCTTTTGCCATTGCCGTTGCAGCAGTAAATTCTCTCCCGCTCCCATCTAAGCTTGCACCTAATCAAGGAACTTACTGTCCCCATGATTCGGTTCGATAAAAAATGTTTGAACACCTACAAAATCCAGGTGGTGGCGCACCAGACTCGCCAGTCCCGGGAATTTTGATTTTAAAACCAGTCAAAAACATGCCACTCATAAACCCCGAAGAAAAGTGATAAAAACATAAAAACGGACTTCCTGCTGCAGAATGTTAGACAGTTTCGATTTATTATCCACAGCAGCACTATCCAAACGAACAGGAAATTGCGTATTCACTAGAAGAATTCGCATAATCCAGTAAAATGAAATCCCAACTAAGAATGTGAAATACGTGAAAATGGCTAGCACTAAGGAAGAAAATATTGGGTAATCATATAGAAACATGCGCAATAGACCAAAACGTGCTCGTAACAATAGTTTCGCAGATTCTACCTGAAAAAAAAAATTCAATAAAAATCACTTTTTATGAAAAATTGCCATCTTTTTGGTGGAATATGCTATTAAAAAAAACAAATTCAGGGGAGTTAAAGCAATACATCAAAATTTCAACAAACTCAGCCAACGTTAGCAGCTTTACTGATTACTTCGCTGAAACTTACGGTAGCTGCTTCATTAAAAAACTTACTGATTTCTTTTCAAGCTCTTCATATTTCTTTTGTACTCATTTTCGTCAGAAATAGAAACAAGAACAAAAAACCGTGGTGCGCATCTCTGCGCCAGGAAAGCACCAAGCCAGCCAAGGCGGATGAATGCTAATGAGTGGAACAAAACTGATAGAGAGGGAAAACAAAACTATGCAAATGTTAGGATTTACGCAAAATGGCGCTAAATATAAGCAATAAAATGCTACACAATCTTAAAAAGGCCAACGTTGCTGAAATTCTGGCTAAAAAGTGCCACGGTCTTGAAGACCAGTCGAAAAGTCCTAGATAAAAATGTCAGAACTAGGACGCAAATTCTTCCGGTAAGTTGGGCAAATTATAAATGCTATAGCGCGCCCCACTGATCCTTCGAATTCCATTCCTCCTTTCCTCATCATCATCTTCGTCCAGAGGTAATCCTCGGGACAAAAAAAAGAGCCCTGAATTTCGTGAATGCGTAAACGAATAAAGATATCGATGAGACAGCGGAACTACCGAACAATCGTGTCAAGGAGGAGGAGGAGGCGAACGGGGGAGGAGGAGAGGAAATGGAAGAAAAATAAAATACCCAAAGCTAAAACACAAGCTGTGAGTTAAAAAACTTCCAAACAAGCATGGGCTTAAAAAGTAAAAGCTTAAGAAAATGCTAGTACTTGAAAAAAAAAAAAAGTGTACGGTACGATTCCGGTAAATACAAGAAGGAATGAGGCGTAATAATACCTCACTTATATACCAAGCAGAATAAAAGCTAACAATTGCGCAGGAATGTTTTACACAACTCATGCAAAAGAGGACCAGAGAAATAGAGAGATTTACTGGTACGCTCGTTTGAAGTGAGCTTCAAAGCTGGGCTGCAGCTGCAATAATGGGCAACAAGAGGAAGAACGATGAACAAGGCGTTTCCGAAAATAACTACCTCGATAAAACGATTCTGAAGCTGCACATAAAAGAGGACCGTCTTCGCGATATCGTGGTCAGCAAGACGATCGGTGAATGATACTTCGATTACGCGATCATCCGGTACGGAGAGCAATCCAACGAAATAGATTGGGAAAAAAATAGTCCTGCACAGCTGCAAAAACCACAGAAACATCATAGACACGTCTAGCTTAATAGCACGGGGTGAATTTGATGCGGTAACAGGTACTGCCACTTTCAAAATGAAACTCGTCCGTTCGATACGGGCAGCGAGAAAATTAATCCCTCAGCCAGTCGTTCTGATGCCAAACTGGCAATGACACACACCAAAACAGCCACTATAGTTTGTTGGTAAGGGCGAGCCACCAGCAAAATTGCTACTGACTGAGTGCTTTGAATGGTCTAATACCACTTGAACGACTTCCGAACGTCTCCAATGACCGGAAAGACTGGAATGAAAGAACTGATTTTAGATTCAGTTTGTTAGTTGACTGTTAGCACACCCCACCACACACAGTGTATGTACGGGGGAGTGCACATACAACGTCGATTAAAAAAAAAAAAAAAAACCACGGTTTTCATCACTGAAAGGTGAATTGAAAGCACACACACACAGGCGCAAGCTACTATTGGGTTGAATGCATAACCTCAGTGTATTTTCGAAAAAAAAAATGAACACAACAAAGCAGAAACAGGATCATTAACAGGCTGAGCAACCTTGGCCACAACAGGAAATGAGGGAGGCTGGCAGCTACACTATCAGACATGAGGCTGCACTGGAAAAAAAACTAACCAATTTCCAAAATACTTCATAAATCCTCCGCAATAAGCCACGGTGCATTCTTGCAAAACACGATCTTCGAAACGTTTTTTTGTTATTTAAACTGTCAATAGCCTCAAAGACAACTTGAAAAATGCCAACATTTGAAATAACAGTCGACTCCGATAGGACGATTTCGGCCGAAACTTCGTAATCTATTCCTGGCGACAATTCCACGTCATCCTGAAACGCCTCGAGCAATGCAAAAATTTCACTAACACTCCTCAATTATTTCCCCAATTTTGGGAAAAATAAAAGATTACTGGAACAGTTCCGCGATGCGGCCTAGGTCTCCAGGAGTCCTGGAAGACCCAAATAATTTGCACTTCGATTTATAATTCAATTTTTTTAAAGCAAAACCTCAAATGCGTAACAAAACCGAAAGAGGAGCGGCTAAATCACGAGTTTTCACGACTGGCTGTTTTCTCGGGCCCAGACTATATGGTGCGCAGAAGCAGTAATAGTGGCAGCAGTAACGCACTAATAAGAATAAAAATAATAATAATAATACTGCTGAGTAGCTCTTAGGGCAGTACCGATAATGGATGCGGACAGTGATAATGTTTAAGTCAGAGTCATCGACGACGTCAAAACCCGGTTCGCATTCATTTCCTGTGAGAGGAGGGAGACACTTAGAAGGAGGAAACATTTGCGGTAATAAATGCCAGAATTAATCGTCTGCTGGAAAGACGCTCGATGGCTTCCTCTTTTCAGGGTTATTTTAGAACTTGCCTGTGTTTACAGCTAGGGGATGAAACACAGACAAATATCCCTAAATATTATTCTCAGCACATGCGCAATCAACATGTCACACTGTTTATAACACATGTTCCTACATACCATCTCCCAATTTCCCCCCCCCCCCCCCCCCCCCCCCCCCCCC